TTATTATTATTATTATTATTATTATTATTATTATAGCTATCAGCCAATCAGTGAGCGAGAATTTTGCGTGTTATTGTAAATTCTACCATTTTCGTGCACAGAACCTTTTTGATTTTCAAGGAGGACTGGACAAGAGTATGCTAACGTATAGTTTACAGCTGATGGGAAAAAAAAGAACAAGACAAAACAAAAACAAAACAAAAAAAAAAACAATGAACGAGTCATGTTAATCTAATCTAATTTCTATCTTGGTTTTGTTGTGCCGTGCCGATCCTTCCGCCCACGAAGTCTATTGATCACTTGATAGCAAAAACAGTTACAGCTGGAGTTCCCATTCTTTTCTATTTTAACCCTAATGGTCGAATGATGGCCTGGGGTGCACCGCAGTAGGGCAGCCGTAAAGGATAGCGATTGATAAACAACCCCCACGACTTCCGGTCGCTTTGAAATCATTAGCGACGTCACGACAAGTTGGATGTTATCGCATTTCCTCATCCTCGAGTGTCGACAAAAACAGATGTATGACTTAAATGAGGACATGATTTGATTTTAAAGCATTGTTGGTCTTAAAAACATATTTTGACATTTGCGAGTGACGAAGACCATTCTGCTGCTCTGTAGTCTGGTCTCACGCAGTGTTGGAGTACCTCCCGTGAACCACCAGGACAATTAGGTAGAGTTGGCATTTTGGTGCATTGTGGGACTGTTTTAGGGGACAGATCTCCAAGATGGCGTCTACTTCTTCATCTACATCTACATTTATTTAAGTCCATGAAAGGGGGTACCCATCACAGACAGACAGACCAAAACCGCCCCAAAATGCAATACGATGCCAACTCGTCCCACTTGTTTGAAAATAGCCATGAATTTGTAGCCTCGTACCAAGTTCTTCTCTGCCATATATTTCAACACAGGAATCCCAATTACCTTCTGGAGAATAAATAGCCTGATAAGGAGGCTATTGTGTCTGCACGAGAGCTTGGATTATCAGCCGGATTTCAAGGTCAGCAAGAGTTTCCTGGCTTACACGGCACTTGGTGTTCCGGCATCATTCGATTTGGATTCCAAAAATTTCTCGACCGACGAAAACATTTGTCGACCGAATAAAGAATTTCTTAATCACCTTTTTTTAATCAACCACGTCCACTTTGTCTTCCTTTGAGGGTTGGGGCTGAGGAGCTCATTTGACCCGAGTTAAGGTCTATATTATTTACTAGGTATCAGTAACCAGGGCAACGAGAACATGACAAAACGTGTCTCGGCACGGTAAATAACATTGCCGTTATCCAATACTAAAGGAAGGAAGTTATCTTAACGAATTAACTTGCAAGGGAAACGGTCGATCCTCAAAGTACTGCAATTCAAGAACTCGTTACGTAAGAACGCCTGGTACAATCAGGATCCAAGCTACCCGTAGAGAATCGCCTTATATTACAAGAGCACTCATTGGACGACATTCTGGACCGGAAATGCGGCTTCACCTGAGAACCTTTAACCAATGAATTCTTATGGGTGAAGCGCAAAATTTTTTGGCGTTTGCTTTTTACTGTGACAATGTCTACTCTCTTATCGTCGTCCATATTTGCTAACACTTCACAAAATGCATATCAGAAGTACTATCTATTTAACTCCGATTCAGACAAGGTAAGTTCTTTAGAAATAAGATTATTTTCTATTGTTGTCTTATAATCTAATCTTTTATGACGTACACAAGAAAAAGTATACATTGGTAAAGTTTGTCGACGGTTTYATAAGAGCATGACTGGAAATAGTCTACACATTTAGAAAATAAAAATTTAGGGATCCCTTGAGTACAACTTGGATCAGGAATTCCGGACTATAAAATACAGTTAATATCAAGTTGACGTTAGTTTTGCGTCTTTTAGTTTCTTTCAAGACACTAAATTAAGATCATAATCCTCTGTAATGACACCCCAAGATGTCCCTTTGCCGTATGCCTCAGACTTGCGATGCTGATTTTATATATTTTTCTTTTCAACTTGAGCAAACTATCTGTTAAACAACTARGACTGTTCGAGCGTCCTTATTTTCAACTTCAAATACCTATAATAAGTAGTTGACCTCGTTTGAGCATAGTGATGTATAACACCAATCTAGTAGTTTACATCTGTCCACAAGTCTAGATGCACTGCAAAACAACGAGTTAACTCTATGCCAATAGCGGGCAAATCAAGCATAGCAGTGAAAGGTTTTCATTAAAGCTACCCTTTAGAGAAGATATTTTGGCGAATGGAGAAAAAAAAAATTAAAAACCTAAAAGCGTTAGGTCCTAACGGTACCGACAATTGCGTGCCCAAGCTATTGAAAGATTTAAAACATCTTGTACAATTAAACAGATACTTGTACATTTTAGTGTATAAAAAATACACCGTAATCTAATGTTCGTCCGTTTAAAGAAGTGAGAAATTTTAAACAGCAATATAAGTGTGAGGAGATATTTTGCGTGGCCAACTTTACAGAGACGAGGAGACGTATTTGGCCTTGGGGTGCAAACTACTGACTCGTAGACAAACTCTTTATAATCTCTGCATCCTGTTCCCCCTTTGAAGCATTTTTTGTAGTAACAAAATAGCTCGGTTTGTTATGTTTGCTAGTTGGTCGAGAGGCCAAGGTGAGCACCATACTACGAATCGTGGTTTTTCCCGGAAATCATTTTTGACGCCTGTCCAAGATATGCCAACCATTTTTTTWAAGGTCGTTGAACTTTAGCATTAAAGAAGTTTGTTTTCAAAAAAAAACTTCGCGAAAACGGTACTTTAAAGCAGTTTTCGATATGCTTTTTCAAGGAATGATAAGATGAACCTTTTAGAAGGATGCATGGCACAACGATTCATTTCCAATTTGGACGTATAAAACTAATGTACTAGCAATTCGCTCATCATCGTATAAACTGCACGATTGCTAGAGTGCAAACCACATACATGCATGAAATAGAACAAAAACTAAATAGCACTAAAAGCATCGATTTTTTTTTTTTTTTTTTTTTTTTTTTTCGTTGGTGCTATTTTGTACTGATAGTTTGCACTTTAATATTGCCTTTAAATGCAGCCAGTATAAAAGTCTTCCAGTGCTCATAAATCAGTACGCAGTGCAAACAATATAAACCGTGAAACTTTAGTAACACTAAATAGCACAATTTCATGCAAATTCCATTGTTTTCTATTGTTTAATTAGCACTATTTTGTACTATTTWGTAATTAGTGTTTCACGGATTAAYTGTTTGYACTCTGTAAGAACTCCCCATTATTATCATAAGGTACCAGTTAGATTCATGTTGCTTTTCTAGGGGAGGAAGAGGATCTAGAGATCACTGAAGTTTCGGCAGAATGTTGTTTATTCAATAATAAAACAGGAAAAGACAGAGAAGTGAAAACAAAAATTACAAAACTCCCCTAGAGCGTCCGAACACACAAGAAGATTGTCAGTATAGTTACAGTGTGTAGTTGTTGGATTTGGTGGAATTAAAAATAAAAAATATCAACTTCAATTGATAATCAAATTACAATCCCAAAAGTCTGAAGGCCTTAACATAGACAAGCTAATTTTAGATTTAATCCCTGTATCCATCACGTTCTCGGTAAAGTTCAAGTTCAAACAATTAAATGAGGGAGGCGCTAGCACATATTTTCGAGTCTTTTAATTAAAATTGAGAGATGAGATTTAAGAAGTTCTTTTTTTTTTCTTTTTCTTTTTTTTTTTTTTTTTTTCGCTTTTTTTTTTTTCGTAAGGTTCTCCGTTTCGAACAAGAGCAAAAATAAGTAAATTATTGGAATCTGTTCAAAGTTGAATAATTAACACCTAGAGATGAAAAAGTAAAGATTTTTGTATTTAAATACAGAGTAAATTATTGACTTGTATGTAAACAGGGGTGTACGTTAATTCTGTTGTATTGCGTACCTTAAGTTTTATCATCAACTTTTTTCCTATTATGATTTTGTCTGCGTTTGTTTTTGTTCCATTGCTCCATAAATATTGTAAATTATTAATCATTTCCGTGAAATCTCCCTTAATTGAGAAGCTGCATGCTTTTCAACTCTTGCATAAGGTTTTGTTCCATTGCTCCATAAATATTGTAAATTATTAATTATTTCCGTGAAATCTCCTTCAATTGAGGAGTTGCTTTTCGACTTTTGCAAAAAAGGCAGAGGAATAAATTATTAAAGAAATTCGAGGGGGGTCGGGGGAAAGGGCTTGAGGTTCAGGGCGCCACATTTGTTTTGGGTRATCATCTCACTTGATATTTCATTTCTTTTTTGCAGGATACTTATCGAAGTTCATCTTCTTCAGACCCAYTTGAATCATTGACATCAGAACTTTACGAGCATTTGAGCTCGTTAGACAGTTCTCCGTGTAGTGAGACATTCAACGATCAGTTGCCATGGTCAGTGGACTCAGACGAGATTTCAAGTCTCGCTGCTTCTTTACAAGACTCGTTGCTACTCCATCCGAGACCGTTACGAAAAAGCCCGAAGAGACCCCCTGAAGGGTATCTTTGTCACTTGTGCTTTTGTAAGGGGCATTACATTAAAGATTGTCCTCAGGTAAATACTAGCCTAGTCTAATATAGTACTTTATCAGCCTTTTCTTGCAGTTCAGTTTAGGATTATTTTACTTGTCTAGGAGCTCATCCGGCGCTTTCGGATGTCAAAATCATCTGTATTAAGAAGTCTTGTAGATTAATAGATAACGAAAAGAATAATCTTCACTCGATTGCAAGAGAGCATCACAGTGACGTGTCTTCCTATCATGTCGTTCTATCCATTAGGTTAACTAGCTAATGCATTACGTGGGGATGCCGAAGCATTACAGAAAAACACCATCCGTTATGTAAAATATATTCTAGAATAAAAGATCAAGTCTAAGTGAAGAGGGGGTGGGGTGGGGATGCCGAAGCATTACAGATATGCACCACCCGTTATGTAAAATATATTCTAGAAAAAACATGAAGATTGAGTAGACTAGATGCCGGTGCAAACTGACTGATTCTAGGCTTGGAGACAAAGAATATTTGGTATATTATATCCAAGTAATCAGTCACAGTGAGGGGATGTTTTGTGCAGGATTTTCAGGTTGTTATTGCTGAAGTTCCGAAGTTTTCTTTTTGCATGATCGGAAGTCCCTCGCTGATTGCAGGTCATCGCATCGGATGTTTTCACTCGTGTGAGACTTAAGGTTCTGAGAGCGGATTATGGCTTAAGTATTTAATGTCAAGGTTAAGAGAAAGTGTAACACAAACTTCTCAAAAAATCATCAACGGATCTATGCATTTTGCARCATCAACGAGTACGCAGACACAAATTTGCACCATAATTGACATTCCTAGCTACCTAGCTATCACGATTCATCCTATATTTCCTAGGCACCCCTAACTTATCAAACTTTAGATGGTTGCCCATTGAAAGATTCAGGATGAAACCTAGAAAGCCAGATCGTGCATGTATTCATGTATTTTGCCACGATAATTGACATTCCTAGCTAGCTATCAAGATTCCTTCATTATAGGCACCCCTAACTACCTATCAAGCTATTTGATTGACTCCGACGAAGGACTAACGTCCGAAACGTCAGTCTACTATCTTTCGTACCTACGGTGATAAAATTATCTACTACGACACATTTGATTCAACTAAAAAACACCGACGCAGTCCAAACTAGTTCCAAAACTAGTCGTCATCTACCTATAAAACTACGTACTTGCATGGCTGCCCAGTGAGGAATCAAGGATGGAGCCTAGAAAAACCGGCAGCATATAACTTCCYCTTTAGATTCATTACTCATTATTTTTGGGGGGGTGAGGGGGCTAGCTATCCACCAGCTCCACCCTTTAGGAACCACCCGCCATTACTGCCTGCCTGCAAACACCTTTCAAGTAGTGAGATGCATTTTTTTGACGTGGATAGTATTTTATGATAACCATCAGTAAATATGTAAATTGTTCAAGGCGATAACCCCAAGTCATGGTCCGATCAACCAAAGGGCTTGCCATACGATATACTTTGAACTGCATTCGAGTTAGGACTAGACATGTTAGAATCCCACCCTTCTTTGATATCTAATTCAAAATTAATGATGACACTACCGTCAATAGGCGAAGGAAAKACTGCAGCAAAGGTGACATGCGGTTTTCCGAAAATATTGCACCGTTCTCGACAGACCACTTTACCTTGGGAGTGATGTCGACCCATTTCAGACCACGTGCCATTCCCTAGATTCCTTCTTTGTTTATAAGTTGAGCACGAGACACGAGACACATGAATATGAATACAACCAAACAGAGAATCTTATTCTCRAGAGAATGTTACGTTTTTTGAAATGGGGAAACATTACACCCAACGGTCTATTCATGGTTTCCAATCAGACAATATCGAACCAATCATCGTTGGATAAGTTTTCCCTGAGGAATTAAAATCATTTGCCCCACAAACAAATATATGTGTAGTATCTGTTTTCACAATGATTACGAATCATTTTTCTTTTTTGTTACAGAACAGCAAACAAATCAAAACAATTTATAACCATATTTTTCGCGATTACAGTCGGAACCATGAATAGCAGATATCGAAGTTACACTCTGCTGCCTTCAGACAATTGTTGCAATTTGGGTCAGTTTCTACACATTTCATTGTATTGACCCAAATGCCCCGACTTGCAACAACTGTTTGAAGGGAACAGAGTGTAACTCTGATATCTACTATTGCTTTCCTCATTTGACAAGACGTTTATTTCGTACATCATGATGAAGAAAAAGACTGGTGTACTTGTGGGAACTGTTTTACTGAATATCATGTATTAATTGCCTAAAAAACTAAGCGACAGTTAGTTGTCATATTGATCTGTATAATGGGCAGTAACACTCATTTGTCTTTATGGTTTTAGTACAGTAAACACCCGCATATAAGAACCTAGGATTTTTGAGATCAGGCTAAATAGGTTCTTATATATCAGGGTACCTTTTGGCAAATCAGGCTGATTAGGTTCCTAATAGGYTCTTATATTTTTCAGATTTTGTCGTAGTATAATCATTCAAGAATACTGTTTAAACTGCATGGCCCACATTGCATCATGAATACATTTCTATATTGTCTTTTACAGAAATTTTAAAAAAATATCTTCAGTGCACCATAACGTTATGGAAAGGCATCTGTACTGTCAACTTCAAACATGTTTTAAATTGTCTTCGATAATTATTTGTTTATTTATTTATTATTTATTTATTTCATGATTCGCCCAAGGGCAGGTGATAATACAATAGGACTCTAGGTCCCCTATATAATATTAACACCCAGACAGTTAATATCCAGAATTTAAAAAAAAAGTGCCATCTGGCTTTGGAATCTCGTATTGACAGATCTGAAGATGAATAATGCAGTATCAGAGTTTATTAAAGAATAGGTTGATTGTATTCTTAACCGGGATTCCATTCGTGACATCACGCTTCTGATYCTTGTTGATTGATGAAACCTTATCCCAGGCTACTGTAACGAATGACTGAAGGCCAAACTAGAAGTTTCTCCTATAGTTACTATCTTTTCTCCAAAMGAAAATGCCATTCGGCCTGCTAATACTGGCTGAGCTGAATGCTAGGAAAACTTATGCTTGGTTGATCTTTTTTTAACGGAGATGAAAGTTGTTGCATGTCTGATCCGTTTTAATTACTTGACATAAAAAACACAAATTAGGATTGGCACTAATCAACACAACATGTCTGAATATGGCTTAAGGTACCAATTATAAGCGGGATTATTAGGTCATTTCCTCCAAGGCCTTGTTTGTTTTCTTTGCATTACGGCGCAATCCATGCACTCTTCCTGCAAATAACGGCCACGCAGACAGACCGACCGACAGACAGTCAGAATAGTAAAATGTATATTGGGAACTCTTATTTATTTCAGTTATCTTTATATTATCTAGGCTCGTCCAAAAGGAGAAGGCCTGACCCCTTATCAGGGTAAAAAGCGTTGTTTTGGAGAGTTCAAATGTCCATTGTGCAAGCGTAAATGGATGAGCGGTAACAGTTGGGCCAACATGGGTCAGCAGTGTGTCAAGTGTTTTATCAACGTCTATCCGCACAAACAACGCCCCCTTGACAAACCAGACGGCTTAGACGTGTCGGACCAGACCAAAGAACACCCCCAAGAGCTTTGCGAGAAATGTCAGTTYCTCGGTTACTACTGTCGAAGAGCCCAGCAGAGCTAAGCCTACAGTGATGTAACAATAACAATTAAGATTAGGGGACAGGGTAAGCTTGGTATACATTTTATGGGGAAAAATAGTATCATCGAGTGTGTTGTATGGGTGCCATATCAGAAGTAGAGACTCCGTTTAGAAAATTCGGCTACTTAATGTATGGCTGCCATGGCAACCCTTATAGTTRGTTGTCAATTTCTTTTCTGGGTGTGCATGTGGGATTACGTTAGCACGTGATGGCGGCCATGATGGATGACGATACAATAACATTCTCTTTGTAGGGGGAATGGCACCTGGCAGAATGGAGTATTTTTATTTTAAATCAACATGTCTGCCTGCTACGTAATGCGTCGGATCCTCTAACATATGTGTTTTATGATAACTGCATGGTAGGCTATAGATTAGATTTTGTTCTTTGTTTTAAAAGAACGGCAAGGATCGACGAGGGCTGAATCGATGATATTGGGCCAGTGGCGTTCAGACTCAGATATAATTGATATCGAAAGGTCATATGACAATTGGACGATAGTTATTTTAACTGTGTGCCATCTATGTTTATTTTGTTCATCTAAAAAAAMCACTTTATTACTTAATAACCAAGAAACAAGCAACCAACAAACCAACTACTACACCAAACAACCAACCAACCAACTACTATCCAACCAACTATCCACCCAACAAACCAACCAAACAATCAACCAGCCAACCAACCAGCTACTATCCAACCAACTATCCAACCAACAAACCAAACAAACAAACAACCAGCCAACCATTACACCAAACAACCAGCCAACCAACTAGCTGTTATCCAACCAACTATCGACCCAACAAACCAAACAAGCAAACAAGCAAACGAACGACCAGCCAACCAACTACCAAACAACCAACCGACCGACCGACAAACCAAACAAACAACCTAGAAGGAAAAAACTGAACTAATTAACCAAACATTCAACCAACAAACCAACCAAACAACAACAAAATCAACCAACAATCAGCCAAATAAAAACAAAACAAAAAAGTCGATAATTTCGTGAAAAGTAAACCGGAACTAATCCATTTTATAAATCATTTTTTCCATGCATTTCTAAGACGAGATTCCAGAGACATTTTTAGAGCTGTATAACTACTGTTCACAAGTACTTGTCGTGAAAAGCAACTCGCACAAAAACTTTAACTCTCAATGTTTATGGTTCATACTTCATTTCYAAGATTACGGTCAAATTTTTCCTCATATTAATACTTATAATAATTATCGTCCATGCTAGAGTCATCAACAATATACCATTACTCAGCTTGTCTTGTCGCCAGTATTTGACTACAGTGTAGTCGCGAGAATCTTTTTGGCAACTTTTGTATATCAGTTTTCTTTTTATCGAACATTGGGTTATAATTATTATCAACGATTATTGTATATATTACACGAAAACRAGTTTAATAATGTGGATATGTCTTATTCGTTGGCTTTTGAGTTTGTTCGCCAAATCAATCGTATTCATTGTTCGTTTTTCTTCAATCCGGGCGCCGCACATTTTGTCTTTAGTCCAACCGCGTGACAAAGAGTGGCAAGAAAATTTGTCCGGTCAGAAAA